GCTTATCTCCTAAATGTGAATGGTGTCATTGGTTTGATGCACACCAGCTTATTCACAACCTAAGACTAAAACATTCATACTAAGAGCTAAAAAATAATCATTTTGATTTCTCTTTTAGGCTTCTACGGTGTTGTTATTTGGGGATTTTAAAGGGTAAGTTCACCGAAAGTGTTGTATAGAGACGCCTCATGGTGAAAGATCTGTGTGTGTGTGTGAGACACGCGACCACCTCGGTCCAGTATGGTCCAGAAAGGACAGGATCTGGCCAGGAGATTTCAGCTTCTTCAGCTAAAAAAAACTTCAATTTTAATTTCAGGGAGCTTTTAATTCAGACTTACTCTTCAGCTGACCGCCGACGTGCCGGTTGTCTCCAGAGTGTTCCTCTTCATAATGGCCTTGCAGCTGGTAGAAGGACTGAAGGTCTTTCAGACAGAGCGGGCACAAGAAGCCCTCCTTCACCTCAGCCGAGTCCTCTAATGACGGCGCGTAGATGGAGGCCATGGACGGGTGTGTGTGTGTGTGTGTGTGTGTGAGACAGTCTGCGTCAGATCCACTGCTTCTGAGGTCACGCTGCACCTGTCTGACAGCACCGGCCACCCCAGACCCTTTCCATTACTCAAACAATAAAAAAAAAAAATATTAATGTGACATCACATCTCAACATAAAACACCTGTTTAAATACAATATTGTCTGCACTTTAGTAGTGCCCGTAGGCGGTATGATGGCATAATATAACTCGACTGAAAAATATGATATCAATTATTACCATACATTAATATAATATACACGTAAATAATGTATCCATGTGTTTCTATATATGTTATCATTAATTTAATTTAAATAGATTCATATTAAGGAGAGCTAAACTGGGTGATAAATATCTGTTGTGATGTTTAATCTCAAAATAAACATAATTTGGTTTTATTACCGTTATATGAATATTAATGTAAGGTCTGGTGTCATTCCTATAATCTAACGTTAACATACATGTGAAGAGACTTCGCTGATTAGCAGAGACATTGTGAATTTAACAGCTGTTAACTCTCTTTTATGGATTTTTACGCTTATGTTTTAACTTAATAAATGTGCGATTTGTCCTCTATTGAATGTAAGCCTCCTTGTCTGTGTATGATAGTTTGTAAACAGGCCTAACCAACACACTGACAGATGAGAAAAGAACACGTTCATCTACCTTATTCCTTAGCGACAAGCTTTCGGTGTTTTTTAACATCCTCTTAAGAGTGAATGTTTAGTGATATCAGGAATAAAAGCGCTTTAAATGGAGAATAAAGCGGTGATCATATAGATGATCGTGTGACTCTCGGTTCACTAGGCGTGATCACAGGATCTCTGCCTGCGCAAGCGCGTCACATCGGCGTGTCAAAATAAAAGTCCTCTCTGAAATTAAAGTCCCCCATTTTGGTGAAAATCAAGTTTTTACTGTTGTTTGTATGTCTATGTGTGTGTGTTTTTTTTAAACATGCTTTAAACCATGTGCAAACTCATAAGTCACGCCATAGAGAGCCTAAGTCCCGCCCCTCCGCTTCCGGCTCATGGGACCTTATTTCGGAAAAAATTAGTGCCCCCCAAACGACTCACTGTGCCCACCCTTGCATAGTTGATTTACGAAAAGAGCTCCGTCTTTCTGCATAACTTATCTCACAGGAACGGTAAGCTCTACAACGGTAGGAATGTATTATACATTATCTTCAGAAATGATTTAGAAATTCATTCAACGCATTATTACACAGAACGTAACTTGAAATATAATTATTTTCATAAATGACTGTAAAACATCCCAAAACAGCACCCAAACCTTGCAAAGACCTACCTCATTAATTATTCACATTCAACAGAATGGCAAGTCTCCAGCAGCAGACCTTTCAATTTGTTATTTTTGTGTTAGTATTTTTATTTCTTCAAATTACAATATGCAGTTTATGTTTAAGGATAAATAAATAATATAAACAATGCAATTTATTTAGTTAAGCATACAGTACGTAATTCCTTTGCGCAGCTGCGCAGTGCATGCGATGCGAGAATCAAATTCTGGTGGTTTTGTAGGCCTTCAGCAAAGCTTATGCTAAGTGGTTAAGTTTCGTCATTGACAAAGACGACTTTGACCAACATCAACGTGCGTGGAAACGACTCTGGAGCTAATTAGATTATAGGAACAGACATTATAAGAAAGGTAGGAATGGAGAATTTGTCTGCTACATTGCTAAATTTGTATTGCAGTATGTTATGCATTGCTTTTATTATTGCTGTATTGTTGGTGGAAACCAGGTGCTTTTGTGACTCATTTTTATGTAGAGAGTCATAAATCAAATTGGTTTTGGCGTAGTTTTACTTAGTTTGGACTTATACGTTGATTGCGCCTTTTACTCAAGAAAGCCACTAGATGACACTGTGTTGTCTATGTGACGAACTATGCAGATTAACAAAAAATATAGGCTACTAGGCTAGCAAGCTATATGTGGAAATGTTAAGAGAAAATAAACAGAGACGTTGAGATCATACAGTGAAGTATTTTATTTAAATAAAATGAATAAAACAAGACTATTGTGGTCTATTTTAGTTGAAGCCTAATATGGGTTGTTGTTTTGGTCTGTCTCAGATCATTAAAAAAAGTGTGCCCCCTATGAAAATGAAATGCCCCCCCATTTGCTTTGTTCTGGTGACGGCCCTGGTGCAGTCTGGTACAAAACACTCAGGTAGGACGGCGTAACGTTACGATTATAACGTAAGACTGTAGAAACAATGACAGACATTAGCCTCAGTAAAGTTAGCTTCATTCATTGAGAGAAAATGTGCGCCTTTGGGGTTTGTAGTCTTTGTAATTACGTATTTTCACAGTCTTATACCTCAACGGTTTTACATCAAACTGCGACTTTCTTTACTTTAAAATGTATCTTTTAAATTGACAAACATCATATGTGTAATTCAGGGCATAATTAAAACGAGATCAAATATTTGTTGTCTCTCGCCATTGACTACCATTCACTATTTTTCCGAAATAAGGTCCCATGGTGGTCGACCGGAAGGGGAGGGACTTGGTTTTTGGTTTTAAACCAATAAGATTTTAGGTTTTCATAATATAAGTACTGATTGGTCCCTTATCAGCCAATCACAATGAAAGTATGACCTTAGTTTGAATCTGATTGAGCTTCATCACAAAAGACAGTAGTTTATTTTTGACCTGTTCCGTGTGCCCCCAAAAATACTAACATAACATAAACGTTTAAATAACAACATAATAATAGAACATTAAACATTCTCTCCGTTTTCTCATCTTACTAAAATAATTGCGTAAAATATCACTTTATTTCAAAATTTACATTTCAGCCCTGTGCAAAGCATGATGGGAAGTGAATGTCATATATGACTGGGTTACTAGATTGAAACATATTTCAAAATTAAAACATCAAGTGAAGTCAAAGTGAAGTGACCATTTCAAGTTAGTTTAACATGAACTAATCACATTTTAACCAGAAACCCGATACAGTGGTGTTAAAACATAATTAAATGTTTAAATGATATATTAATATACTGTATGTACTGTGTGTGTGTCTGTGTGTGTATCAAGTAAGCTGTCTTCTTTGAAACAAAAAGTTAAACTGAAGTTAAACCTGCCTCCTGGTAGGTTTAATTTAAGACTCAATTTAGTCCTGGAGTAACTGTAGTCTTCCTCCTGGAAATCGGCTTATTAAACTCTGGACTAAACTAAATTTAGGACTATTTAAAGCCATGACATAGAAAGCAGATTTTTGTTAATCAGGTTTAAAGGGCCATTTTATTCTAGGACTATAGGCTTAATCTCTGTCCGGGAAACCGCCCCAGAATCTTTTTTTTTTTATTCTAAACTGCTTTAATTATTCTTATTTCTTTTGATTATTTTAATTTCCTCTATGTAAAGCACTTTGAATTACCATTGCGTGCTAAATAAACTTGCCTTGGCTTAAATCTTAACATCTTTAATGTCTCTATATGCAAAAACAGAAGAGCAGCGATTGACCCGATTCTGGAAATACTGAAATATTAAATCTCGGTGCGGAATCTGACAGTGGTTTTCTCCATCTTCTGTTTGTAGACCTCGTCAAACTGCTCATTTTGTGCCACTGTGAAGTGATCTTTCCAGTCTCCGACTTTACCTTTTGGAACACAAATAACAGGAAGAGAAAAGCAAGTTAAAGGCCAGAACTCAGAAGGAGATAATTAGATGATTCAGCGATTAATTAACCTTTCCTCATGAAGGGTGAGATCTTGAAGTCCATGAAAGGGATGTTGACATGGTTGGTCATGTTGTTCTGTTGCATGGCATCAAACTGAACCCCTTTTGTTATTTTCTCCCTTTCTTCGACCGAGGTGGACAAACCCAAGAAGGAGCTCAAACGTTCCACCTCACGTCCAGTGTCCTGGAAATACACACTTTAGACACGACTGACTTGACACTTGATAAAACTGTCACTTTGAGAATTGAACTTACTTCAACCAAATCCTCATAGAACAAGTAGAGTAGGTTAGAATATGTTTGTTTTTTCTCCCACCATCCGCTGACATGATCATACCAAGGCCCAAACACATCTGGCGGGAAATCACTGATGTTAAAACAAAACCTCCAAGACAAAGTTCTCGATAATGTAGGGGTTGTAATTAAGAAATCTCGATTTGATATCATGACATTAAAATGATAAATGATTGCACCCAATCTACTTACTTTTCCCTTTCATGAATTTCTCTATAAAGCTGTTCCAGTCTCCGGGGTCAGGCTGCACCATGCTCATTCGATCAAAATGAAAATAGGAAACGGCATTGTCTTTTGCATTACGTGCTACATACACAATCTGGAATAAGCGAAAGAAAATAAATATTGTTACAATACAGGACTTATATGTTGTATTATAACAATTTCATTACAGAACTACTTCACTTTTATTAAAGCTGCAGTGAGTAATTTCTGTTCCACCAGCGAGAACAAACGTAATTCCTTTCATAGTGACTATTTCCAAACAGGTTTCGCACACACCTGCCAATTGTCAAGGTGGATAGTATTTAAAGTGGCCCACTGGTTAAAGTTTTGATGACACTCAACAAAACAGAGTAATATTTTGATAGCCCTAAAGAGCATTTCTTTTTTACAGAGAACTCAAGTTTTAAATTAGTTGCTTGGAAATATAAATGATTAGAAACCTGAAGATGTAAGCAAGCCCCTCATTGATCAGATTAATTGAAAAGACAATTTCAAAATGTCAGATTTTGGCAGATATGATTACATTTATCATCTATTCTAGCAGTCAAAAGACCCGCAGTATTTACCCTTGAGTTCTGCTCCCAGAAGGACTTGGGCACAAGCTGAACAGGTAAGTGTGTTTTGATGAGACGAGGAGAGGTGGGAAGATTATCAGCCCTTTCTGCCCCTGTAACTGATATGTTGTATAAATTGTCATTATCATTGAGGTGATGCCAAAACCCATTTGAGGCTTTGGAACAATTTATAATTTACATTCCAACAATGAATAGATGAAATGTGTGAATAATTTGGGCTACACTTTATTCCGATGGTCCACTTTAGACATGCACTATAACTTTGCAATGCCAACTGCCTCTCATTAGAGTATTAGTAGACTGTAGTATCAAAATAAAGTGTTAGCCGATTTTAAGCAGACAGAGATAGAGATTGATTTATCCTTTCGGAAAAAGTGTCTCTGGACTGTGACAGTCCAGCTGGAAAGAAAGAGCATGGTGCTATTTAAAGTGCTGTCCTGCAGGTAACTTCTTATTAATTAATTTAATGCTAGTTGTTTGTCTGGAAATAAGGTAGCCTAAATCGTCTGTCACAGTGTTGGGTTTGTGTTCCCCAGGTGTCCACTACATGTCCTCCTTCCCCACAGTGTCACTCACTTATGAACTACATTTCCCATGATCCTTGTCTTATCATTGCATTCAGCTGTTCCTCATCACTGATTATCCCATTATCATTCCCTGTGTATATAACCCAGTCTGTTTCAGTGTGTTTTACGGAGTCCTTGTATTTTGTGTCACACCACTTCATGTCTATGTTAAATTCCTAGTTCCTGCTTGTTTGTTTCTTGTTTTGGACTGCCTTGAATATTGACCCTTGCCTGGCTGACTCGGATTTGGATTGCCCTTTAAAAATAAAACACGTTTCCTGTGTGTGGATCGTGACAGAAGGACTCCGTCAAACCCTAATCCAGCGGTATGTTTTCTAACTTCTCTTCCCCAGCCACTGAGCGGGAGAGGAGATATTATTTTCAGGGAACCCGCCTAGTAATTTTTCGTGGGACCCGGGGAGGTCACAGAGGAGGAGAAGGTGGTCGAGAAGAAGTTCGACACCAATCTCAACCCTGGCCCCCCTTCGACTCACAGCTCAGAGCCAACATCTCACCATCACGGACGGAAAAGGGGGAGGAAAAGCACGTCTGCTCAGCCAGAGACTGTCCACGCCACATCTACCCGGGCAGAGACGGATCAGGAGATGCCCATTCGCGTGGCCGGCGAGGGCACGGATGGACTACTTGGACCATCTGATTCAGATCTTGGACATGCCTGTGCTCGCTGTTCCAGAGCCGGAGCCAGTGTATGTTCCAGATCCAAAGACAGATCAGGAGAAACCCATTCTTGCAGCTGGGGGAATACCCAGCAACTATCTGGAGTGTCTGGCACGGATCCTGGAAAGACCCTTCAGACCTTTGGTGTCCCAGGTTCCAGAGCCGGAGCCAGTGCCTGTCCCAGAGCCGGAGGCAGAGCCAATGCCTGTCCCAGAGCCGGAGGCAGAGCCAATGCCTGTTCCTGAGCCGGAGGCAGAGCCAATGCCTGTTCCAGAGCCAATGCCTGTTCCAGAGCCGGAGCCGGAGCCAATGCCTGTCCCAGAGCCGGAGCCGGAGGCAGAGCCAATGCCTGTTCCAGAGCCGGAGGCAGAGCCAATGCCTGTCCCAGAGCCGGAGGCAGAGCCAGTGCCTGTTCCAGAGCCGGAGCCGGAGCCAATGCCTGTCCCAGAGCCGGAGCCGGAGGCAGAGCCAATGCCTGTTCCAGAGCCGGAGGCAGAGCCAATGCCTGTTCCAGAGCCGGAGCCGGAGCCAATGCCTGTCCCAGAGCCGGAGCCGGAGGCAGAGCCAATGCCTGTTCCAGAGCCGGAGGCAGAGCCAATGCCTGTTCCAGAGCCGGAGGCAGAGCCAATGCCTGTTCCAGAGCCGGAGGCAGAGCCAGTGCCTGTTCCAGAGCCGGAGGCAGAGCCAATGCCTGTCCCAGAGCCGGAGGCAGAGCCAATGCCTGTTCCAGAGCCGGAGCCGGAGCCAATGCCTGTCCCAGAGCCGGAGCCGGAGGCAGAGCCAATGCCTGTTCCAGAGCCGGAGGCAGAGCCAATGCCTGTCCCAGAGCCGGAGGCAGAGCCAATGCCTGTCCCAGAGCCGGAGGCAGAGCCAGTGCCTGTTCCAGAGCCGGAGCCGGAGCCAATGCCTGTCCCAGAGCCGGAGCCGGAGGCAGAGCCAATGCCTGTTCCAGAGCCGGAGGCAGAGCCAATGCCTGTTCCAGAGCCGGAGGCAGAGCCAATGCCTGTTCCAGAGCCGGAGCCGGAGCCAATGCCTGTCCCAGAGCCGGAGCCGGAGGCAGAGCCAATGCCTGTTCCAGAGCCGGAGGCAGAGCCAATGCCTGTTCCAGAGCCGGAGGCAGAGCCAATGCCTGTTCCAGAGCCGGAGGCAGAGCCAGTGCCTGTTCCAGAGCCGGAGGCAGAGCCAATGCCTGTCCCAGAGCCGGAGGCAGAGCCAATGCCTGTTCCAGAGCCGGAGCCGGAGCCAATGCCTGTCCCAGAGCCGGAGCCGGAGGCAGAGCCAATGCCTGTTCCAGAGCCGGAGGCAGAGCCAATGCCTGTCCCAGAGCCGGAGGCAGAGCCAATGCCTGTTCCAGAGCCGGAGGCAGAGCCAATGCCTGTTCCTGAGCCGGAGGCAGAGCCAATGCCTGTCCCAGAGCCGGAGGCAGAGCCAATGCCTGTCCCAGAGCAGGAGGCAGAGCCAATGCCTGTCCCAGAGCAGGAGGCAGAGCCAATGCCTGTCCCAGAGCCGGAGGCAGAGCCAATGCCTGTCCCAGAGCCGGAGGCAGAGCCAATGCCTGTCCCAGAGCCGGAGGCAGAGCCAGTGCCTGTTCCAGAGCCGGAGGCAGAGCCAATGCCTGTCCCAGAGCCGGAGGCAGAGCCAATGCCTGTCCCAGAGCCGGAGGCAGAGCCAGTGCCTGTTCCAGAGCCGGAGGCAGAGCCAATGCCTGTCCCAGAGCCGGAGGCAGAGCCAATGCCTGTCCCAGAGCAGGAGGCAGAGCCAATGCCTGTCCCAGAGCCGGAGGCAGAGCCAATGCCTGTCCCAGAGCCGGAGGCAGAGCCAATGCCTGTCCCAGAGCCGGAGGCAGAGCCAATGCCTGTCCCAGAGCCGGAGGCAGAGCCAGTGCCTGTTCCAGAGCCGGAGGCAGAGCCAATGCCTGTCCCAGAGCCGGAGGCAGAGCCAATGCCTGTCCCAGAGCCGGAGGCAGAGCCAGTGCCTGTTCCAGAGCCGGAGGCAGAGCCAATGCCTGTCCCAGAGCCGGAGGCAGAGCCAATGCCTGTCCCAGAGCCGGAGGCAGAGCCAGTGCCTGTTCCTGAGCCGGAGGCAGAGCCAATGCCTGTCCCAGAGCCGGAGGCAGAGCCAATGCCTGTCCCAGAGCCGGAGGCAGAGCCAATGCCTGTCCCAGAGCCGGAGGCAGAGCCAATGCCTGTCCCAGAGCCGGAGGCAGAGCCAGTGCCTGTTCCAGAGCCGGAGGCAGAGCCAATGCCTGTCCCAGAGCCGGAGGCAGAGCCAATGCCTGTCCCAGAGCAGGAGGCAGAGCCAATGCCTGTCCCAGAGCCGGAGGCAGAGCCAATGCCTGTCCCAGAGCCGGAGGCAGAGCCAATGCCTGTCCCAGAGCCGGAGGCAGAGCCAATGCCTGTCCCAGAGCCGGAGGCAGAGCCAGTGCCTGTTCCAGAGCCGGAGGCAGAGCCAATGCCTGTCCCAGAGCCGGAGGCAGAGCCAATGCCTGTCCCAGAGCCGGAGGCAGAGCCAATGCCTGTCCCAGAGCCGGAGGCAGAGCCAGTGCCTGTTCCAGAGCCGGAGGCAGAGCCAATGCCTGTCCCAGAGCCGGAGGCAGAGCCAGTGCCTGTTCCAGAGCCGGAGGCAGAGCCAATGCCTGTCCCAGAGCCGGAGGCAGAGCCAATGCCTGTCCCAGAGCCGGAGGCAGAGCCAATGCCTGTCCCAGAGCAGGAGGCAGAGCCAATGCCTAGTAAGTTACTAAGCCCTCCTTCAGGAACAACCGCTTGCGAATCCGCATTTATGTTTTCGAACGATTCGTAATTAAAATGATGAGAACACAAGGTTCAGGCTATACTGTTGTGGTATTGTTGCAAATATGAACTCTGACCACCGATTCTTCACATGCTCGTCCCTGGTAAATGAAAACAAAGTGGCTGAACTATCTTTGCATTGTAGAACACAGCGTCTTCTCGACATGATGCTATGATGAAGTATTTGAATGTGTAGACTTCAAGTTTACACTTCCGTCTGCGCGCGGCCAGTATGCATCTACGTCACTACGAAACAGCTAATGACTCGTTTCAAAAACAATTCATTTCATAGACTCAGAGTCGACTCTCACTTTTGAAAGACAATAACTTTATATACGGTGCACTTTCAGATATAAATCTTTGCAGGATGTTTTCATTCCCTTAGAGCTATATTCCACAGCATATGAACAGTCATTTTCAAAAATCCATGATAGGGCTTCTTTAAACTATCAAATGTAAGATGACATTTTTAAACTATCAAATGTAAGAAAAAATGTTTTAGTGTTAATGAACTGAATGGCTACATTTATTTTTTCATCAAATAATTTAATTTATGTTTAAAATTTAGCAATAAAATGATTGACCTCTCTGACCTGTTGAAAACTCTGGAAAGTGTGCTTCCAGGCATGGGATTCTGAAATAGATGGCCTTGGAAGTCTGACGCTCTAGATCACCATTACCAAAATATAGAAGGTCCAGTATATAAGAAACCCATGTGGTACCTGGGGATGAAAAGGGAGTTAAAAGTGTTTAAAAAGTTTGGAAAGACAATACATAATCCTGTCCATAGTGGTTAACAGCTAATAAGAGTTAAGTCAGCATGCTTTAAAATCAAAATTAATAAAAGCGTCTCGCCTGCTTTGGGATAAGTGGCGATCAGAATGTCATCAGGTCTTGCTTGAAAGTTTTTCACCTTTTCCCAGTTGTCCGTGAAAAAGTGAGTCATGGAAACACCCTCAAAATCAAATATCTCTGGTCGACTCTGCAGTTTCAGATGCAGAATATAAAACGTTTTAGTTTAATGCTAAAGTTTTACTGCACTGACTGAGCAGTCATTTGAGTTTCATCATTGGCAATATAAAAACAATGTAAAATCATGTTCACAGCAAGATTTCAGATACATCTGCACTACCAGTAGAGTATGTTTTTAGGAATTTTTTGAATATTGGTTCCACTGAAAAGCCATGATAATTGCTAGTAAATACTTGTTGTGTGTCTACAGTGGTCTACTCTGTTACAGTGCACCTGCAATTGTGTATCAAACGCTCACAATTGTTCTTTTTAAAACTATGCTAATGGTATTAAACAGACAATTTCATTTTTATACTATCATAAAATACTTCAAAGAGAATTATTCATACTCACTTACCATTATGGGGAAAGGGTTTTAATTTTCTTAAGGCTTCTTAATCCTGTCTTGTCTTCCTCTCCTAGAATGTTTCTGAAAGCTTTCCTCAAAATGCAAACAGGACTTCTACTTAAATACTATTCAGCGCTGTCATTGATATTCTCTTGAGTTTATCCCCACCCTTATCTCTGCGCTTTGAGTTTGCACACTTAGCCTTAAAAAACATGTTACAGTACATGTTCAAACTGCCCTCCCCAAAGGAAAGAAACGTCCCTAGTAATATTACATGTGTCTTCTTTTATGGCAAGCCGTTTTAGCTTAAATTGTACCCATCAGCCTTACTTGTCGGCATTGCATTTTTACTAGTAACAATTCAATTAGAGAGCTCTACAAATTAATTTTTATTATTGACTTCCATTCATTTTTAATTAGAGAGCTCTACAACTGGATTGTTACTAGTAATAATAACAATTAGAGAGCTCTCTCAATTCTTACTAGTAAGAATTACAATTAGAGAGCTTATAGAGAGCAATTATAATTAGAGAATTGCATTCCTACTATTAAAAACTGAATTAGAGAGCTCTCTAATTATAATTGTTAGTAAGAATTGAATTAGAGAGCTCTGCAATTGAGTTGTTACTAGTAAGAATTGAATTAGAGAGCTCAATAATATTAATTCTTACTAGTAACAATTGCATTAGAGAACTCTCTAAATGAATTGCTACTAGTAAGAATGCAATTGCAGAGCTCTTTAATTCAATTCAAGATAATTCTACTTCTACTAGTAGGAATTCAATTAGAGAGCTCTCAAATTGCAATTATCACTAGTCATAATTAGCTTAGAGCGCTCTCTAATTGTAATTCTTACTAGTAAGAATGCAATTGCAGAGCTCTGCAATTCAATTATAGAGCTCTGCAATTATATTCAATTATATTATTGCAATTGTTGTTAGTACGAATTTAATTAGAGAGCTCTATAATTGTAATTGCTAGTAGGAATTAAATTGTAAAGCTCTCTAATTGAATTCTTACTGGTAAAAATGCAATAATGACGAGTAAGGCTGGGTACAATTTAAGCTAAAACGGCTTGCCATACTTCTTTAGCATTCCAGAAGAGAACTCAACATTGCTTCAAACCCCATTTGGTCATTTTGTTTAGTATTTTTTAATTAACTGTGGTTTGTCAGTGTGCACTTTGACTTTACTGAAGGAACATCTTGTATGCTGTGGTAACACTGTGTTCCTCTGACAGGGATGCCTAATGGTGGATCCATGTTTAGCAAAAAGGTTAACCTGCAAGGTTAGCAAAAAAAAAAAAAAAAAAAAAAAAGCATAGGCCTAATGTTCTGGGGCCGTATACACAAAGAATTTTATCTTACCACTATTGTTACTCCCTAATCGTATTAAAATATTTTAGCTAGGAGTTTTCTCTTAAAAGTTATTCACAACAACGGCAACGCAGACCATTTCACAAGATGTAAACAACACTGGTCCAGAAACACTTCCTGTTTCAGTTTATTTCACATGTAAAGAAAACATCTTAAAGATGTTTGTTTAACTTTTTGATTCAGTTTTAAATGTTCTGTTGGTTGTATTTTATTCCAGCTTTTATGTAGTGTTAAAAAACTGAAACAGGAAGTGCTTCTGGACCAGTGTTGTTTGTGAAATGGTCTTCGTTGCTATGGACGTCAATTCTCATGCTCGAGCTTCCTCGCAATGATCACGGTGATTGGTTGCAGTGGTGGAAACTAATTACAAATAGGCTACTTTCGTTACAATGTAGATTTTTTCATTTATTTCATTTTTTCATAAATTGTGGTACTTTTACTCTTACTTGAGTAAAATAAAAGTAAAGTATTCAACTTCTCTACATTTATATTTCATAAAAATTACAAAGTACTTTGACAAAGGTGCCGACCTATCTTTTTACAGTCTATGGTGCCGACGGAGCAACAGCGCAAGCTGACATTTGACAGACACTTTTCAAAACCACTGCGGTGGAGCCCTGCGCTTCAGCCAATAACAGACATATCTGAAGCACTTCAGCCAATAACAGACAGGTCTGACTCGGGTGCAAAACCAATCAAAACCTCCAGTTCGGTTGGGGGGCGGAGTGTTCAAACCGCGCTTTGACATTCAATCACTGGCGCTCGTGTTTGAATCACTAGCGCCAACGTTTCAATTTTTCAGTGAATGTAAGTGAGTATTCTGCTCGTCGTATTTAATTATGGCAACTACTGAAATGGGTCACACCATTGATAATACCAGAGCACTGAACAGTTGAAGTAAATAAAAAAGCTCGGCTCATAACATGGACGCGGTTTGCAATGGACGGAGCAAGAATGTAAGTGTCTAAAATACATGCACACAGTTCAATTAATTGTAAAGCTCTCCCTGTTAAACAATACATTTAAACTAGATATACGAAGCAAACTTTGTACAAAGCTGAAAAACAGTGAAATAAGATCGCATGATTAATCTGTCAATCAGATGCATGTAAAAGTGTAGTTCGTTCCTATTAGCGACAGTCAGTGGGCTCCCAGCACATTTTCGGTTGGCTACAATGAAAAAAAAGATCATTTAATTTAACATGTTAACCCTACCCCACTTAATTTTTTATTTATTTTTATTTTTTTTACTGGGAATTTTTTATATTGTTTTATTTTTTACGGACCTCTCAATTAACCTTCTTTGCTTTCAATTATGAATGATTCAAATCAAAACATTCAAATGATCATACCTACACTTACTTTTCAAAACTAGTAATAAAAAATTGCTCTTGACAACAGAGGAAGCTAGTAGTCTATATGTGGAGCACTTTTATCATTGATGGATGGATGCACTTTTTTTGGGCTTCAAATTTTCTTCAGTCATTTACTGCCATTATAAAGTTTGGAAGAGCCAGGCCATTTTTTTTAATATAACTCTGATTGTATTCGACTGAAAGCAGAAAGTCATATCTTCTAAGATGACTTAAGGGAGAGTAAATCGTGGGCTAATTTTAATTTTCGGGTGAACTATCCCTTTAAAGTCATACATCTTTCTTTTGCAAAGACCTGAAAGTTTGATAAACTCAGATATATTATAGCTATTATGTGTTTGTCTTCATGTTTCATCAGTCAAAACATCACTATTTGCAAGTTATTATATCCATATAAGGCATTTACTGAAATGTGTAAGTTTAATACTTCTATGCATCAGTACTGGGCCGTCAGTATGAATGAAACAGATGACATGAGAGTGTTTAGCGCTCCATTTCGCTATATCTCACCATTTTGGGTAAAAATAGAAAAATACTAAAGTACTTTGTAACGCAATTACTTGAGTAGTTTTTAAGCAAACTACTTATTTACTCTTACTTGAGTCATATTATATTTCAGTACTTCTACTTGTACTTAAGTACATTTTTACTTAAAGGGTTAGTTCACCCAAAAATGAAAATTAAGTCATTAATTACTCACCCCCATGCTGTACCAACCCCGTAAGACCTTCGTTCGTCTTCGGAACACAAATGAAGATATTTTTGATTAAATTTGAGAGCTGTATAACTACCACATTGGCTCCTAAGGGACTGCCTCTTGACGGCCCAGAAAGTCAATGAAGAAAATGTTTAAATATCCCAAGTGACTACCGTGGCTCAACTATATGTTTATCAAGCGACGCGAATACTTTTTGTGCGAAAAAACAAACAAAAATAACGAGTTTATTCGACTATTTTTTTCTTCCTTGTAGGCCAGAACGAGACTTCCTTATAGATTTCCACGACGCATGCGCGAGAATTGCGATCTGAAGTGGTGTAAGCTGGTGTACGCAGATCGCAAATCTCGCGCATGCGTCGTGGAAATCTATAAGGAAGTCTCGTTCTGGCCTACAAGGAAGAAAAAAATAGTCGAATAAACTCGTTATTTTTGTTTGTTTTTTCGCACAAAAAGTATTCGCGTCGCTTGATAAACATATAGTTGAGCCACGGTAGTCACTTGGGATATTTAAACATTTTCTTCATTGACTTTCTGGGCCGTCAAGAGGCAGTCCCTTAGGAGCCAATGTGGTAGTTATACAGCTCTCAAATTTAATCAAAAATATCTTCATTTGTGTTCCGAAGACGAACGAAGGTCTTACGGGGTTGGTACAGCATGGGGGTGAGTAATTAATGACTTAATTTTCATTTTTGGGTGAACTAACCCTTTAAAGGAGAACTCCGGCGAACAATGAACCTTTGGTCTAATAAAACATCGGTACACAGTCAACCGTTCTCTGAGATTTGTTTTCATGATAATCGAATGCACAGAGTTTTATCTCTAAAAACTGTTTAGCGTATAATGCTACCCTTGTGAAAAAGAAGTGTGCTTAATTGTATTGAAAGTGTACTTTTTGTGTGCTTAAACTCATGAAAGTATACTTTTTGAAAAGTGTACTTGCAGATAATATAATATAATTACAATTAAAGACCACTTAAGTTTAACTTAAAGTAAGTACACTTTCATCACATTATTTATAAACACACTTAAGTGCACTTTTAAAAATGCACTTTGTAATAATATGTAATTAAGTTTAACTTAAAGTAAGTACACTTTCATGACAATATTTATAAACACACTTAAGTGTACTTTTTAAAAATGCACTTTGTAATAATATGTAATTAAGTTTTACTTAAAGTAAGTACACTTTCATCATCACAATATTTCTAAATACACCTGTTTTTAAAAAATCTTTTTTTAATATTGTCTACTTAAGTTTTAGTTAAAGAAAGTACACTTTCATGACAATATTTATAAACACACTTAAGTGTACTTTTTAAAAATGCACTTTGTAATAATGTCTAATTAAGTTTTACTTATAGAAAGTACACTTTCGTGATCATATTTATAAACACACTTAAGTGTACTTTTTACAAATTCACTTTGTAATAATATCTAATTGAATTTAACTTAAAGTAAGTACACTTTCATCATCACAATATTTCTAAATACACCTGTTTTTAAAAAATCTTTTTTTAATATTGTCTACTTAAGTTTTAGTTAAAGAAAGTACACTTTCATGTTAATATTTCTAATCAAGTGCATGTTTTAAAAAAATTCCCTTTTTAATTGTGTCTACTTAAATTTTACATTTTAAATAATTATGATTTTATAGTGTT